AAGGCTTGGAAAAAGCTTGTCGAGAAAAAATGATCGATTACGGGGGAAAATTGGTAAAAAATTTTCCGGGAAAGATTTGGGGAAGATGATATTTTGGTTAGGTTGATGCACAGCTGAGAGCTGATGTCGATATGGTCGGAAAGTGGCAGAAAACGCCCGAATTCGACAACGGCGATACTTTGCACGCATGCGCATGGGAAGATTCTCCCGCAGGCGTACAGCCGGGATTGACATCAGCTTCCTCGGATCAGCTTTATGATGATGAAGACTCTCAAGTAGGGATGGGTAGCAAATTTTTTTCCGGAACTTTTTCGCTTGATTCAGAAAAGCGTGGTTCGGACGTAGGAAAATTGGCAAAAATTGTGATTTTTCCGGACTTTTTTTCTCGATTCAGGATAGTGTGGTTCGGGCATTGAAGGATCCGGGTGGGGATTGGAAATTTCGTGGCGCGGTGACGGAAGGCGCTGTGTTGAAGAAGGAGAATTCGAAAAGCTCCAGTACTGGTAGCTTCCTAGATATGGTAAAAATAATTTTTTCTTAGCGGAGCAAAGTTTTTCTCCTCCAGATCCGACATTCTGGTTCGTTACCTCAGCTCGATCGTGGCCGTATGATCGATACGCCGGGAGCTTTTGAAAAAAAGTAATTTTCTGTTCCGGTAAAAAGAATCTGATTTTTTTCCCAGGTATGAGTTGATCTCGATAGAAGAGGGCGGAATTTTGGGAGAGGGAATGAACGGCGCGGTGCGGCTCGCAAAGGACAGATTTTCCGGCGACCGGGTCGGTGGATTTTTTGGGGAAATTTTCTGATTGTGATGGGAAAATAAACGAATATTCAGTGAGATAAACTATCATCAATTACGTGTGTTGATAAAAAAAATTTAGGGAGACTGTTATTGGTTTTTGCACATTTCTACCCGAATTTTTATGGTCAGTAAGGAAACTTTTGGATTCAGCTTCTTTTCGTATTTTAAGATGTTGTTTTCGCTAATTCCCTGGAGAACTTGTGGGGAGCGGGATGTGATTTTTTGTCCATGTCAGGTCGCAGTGAAAAGTTTGAGCCTTGTGAATATCAGCTCGGCCCAAAGAGATATGCTTTATGACGAGATTAACATCTATTTGCCGCTATCGCATCCTAATATAGTACGGAAGAGAAAAATAACAAACATGAAACGCTTCGCTCCGCTAACAGGTTCGCTTGGAAGAGGTATACGAAGAACCGGGGGAGAAAATTATATTAGTAATGGAAGCGTGTACAGGGGGTAGGGAATTTTTTGGGAAAAAATACTTTCAGGAAAATTTTTTTCAGGTGAATTGTATGAGCGCCTCGCTAAACTGAATCGTTATAGTGAACGCGACGCGGCGAAGATCCTCCGGCATATCCTCTATGCTGTGAGTTACCTTCACTCCCTCAATATTTGCCATCGCGATATCAAATTGGAAAATTTTGTGTAAAAAAAGGAAATTTTTCGGAAAATTTGTGGTAATTTTTTGAATTTTTAGATACACGGATGATACTGCAGATTGTCGATTGAAGTTATGCGATTTCGGTTTTGGTACGATTGTCCGTCGAGAAGAGGATTCCTTGACGGCCTCGATGGGCTCGGTGAGAATTTTTTCGCGGAAATTTCTGTCTTTTTTTCTGCAATTTTCCGGGGTGTGGAGGCACTTTTTGAAGGAGAGCGAAAAAACACAGATTTTTTTCTGATTTTTTTCCGTACGAAATTGCTTTTCTGCCGCGAAGACTAGTGGAAAAATTCAGAGATTCTCTTCTCGCAGCGATCGATCTGAGTGAGGAAATTTTGCGTATTTTTCCGTTAAATATTTTTTCGAAAATCTTTATATTTTTTCGTTTTTCTGCCAGGTGCATTACATTGCGCCAGAGGTTCTCGAAGGAAAATATGGTCTTCAATGCGACATGTGGTCAGTTGGAGTGATCTTGTATATGCTGCTTAGTGGCACTCCGCCGTTTGATGGTGCCAACGATGGCGAAATCGTGAGGAAAATTTTCCGGAAAATTTGGGGAAATTTCGTATCCTGTCAGAGTGATGCTGTTCGCCATGCGCCGCTGAAGCTGACTGGGTCGCGATGGGACTGCATTTCGCGGAGTGCGAAAGATTTGGTACGAAAATTAATTTGCCGAAATCCGTCAGAGAGATTGACCGCGACGGAAGCGCTGAAGCACGAATGGTGTGGAAGTAATACGGCACAGGTTCAATCCTGGATGGCGATATTTTTTAGTTGAATTTTATACTTTTAGATGTGGATCGATTTTTGTATTGTGAGGGAAAATATTTAATTCGTTTTTGTCAGGCACGGATATTCTGAAGTTGAATACCGCGCCCAACGAAATCGATACGGATGTTCTTCGGAAGATGCACGCCTTTGCAAGATGCTCTGCAATTCAAAGGGTAACCTATTCTGTATCTTTTCTGCTTGAACCTAAGATATTTACGACACTCGTAAAATTTGGGCGGGTTTTCGTTCCAGTCTAGAATGGGAAAAGTTCATCTTTGATCAAGAAACCGTTTTCCGACTTTTTGTTTTTGATTTTATTTTCTCATTTTTTCGGTTGTTTTATTATTTGGTTTTCTTTAGGCTGCGCTCGGATTGCTGGCACAGAAACGGGGAGATGATTTTGTTGGTATCGACGAGAATCTAAAATTGATGGAAGAAACATTCATGAGAATGGATACCAATGATGATGGTGAGGATAATTTTTTTCCGAAAAAATGGGTTTCCCCGTGGATTTTGAGAGAAAATATATCGGGAATTATTCGGATTTGGGGTGTGGTGAATGTACGGATGAGGCTCATCCGATGAGCTGAAGTGAAATTCTGAGAAATGGATTCAATTAATGACGGTTAGGGAAAAGTTCACGGAAAAAATCTTGATATTTCAGGAAATTTACGAAAAAATCTTGCTGAAAGTTGTCATATACGGGAATCCTAGGGTGTAGCTGGCGCAGTGCATGGTCAACTACACGTGTCGGTTAGAAAATGAAAGTTTCAAGGAAACTCCTGAGCTCAACTGAGGAAAGCGAACATTATTCCAGTACTGAGCTGACATGATACGAAATATTTTCCCTTTGGATTTTACTAATTTTGAGTTTTTTTCAGGAGTCATAACTCTCCCTGAATTCGAAGCCGCTGTGCGTTTGCATGTGGGTATGAGCGAATACGAAGCGGAAAAGATATTTGGGGAGATTAGCAGTTGCGGTTCGACGGTGAGGCTGCGGGCCTGTTTCGTATCTTGCAGCAGCGAGCTTGATATTTATGGAGGAAAATGATTTTTGGGAAAAACTTTGAGATTTTCTTTGTTAATTGTCGAAAAGGTTGAGGTTAGCGAGAGAATATTTTTAAGATTGCGTTGTGGGGGAATCTTCTTTGTTGTCGTGTGCATGCTTGAACCTAAGATATTCTTAAGAGTGCGGTGTGGAGGACTCTTCTTTGTTGTCGTATGCGTGCTTGAACCTAAGATATTCTTAAGAGTGCGGTGTGGAGGAATCTTCTTCGTTGTCGTATGCATGCTTGAACCTAAGATATTCTTAAGAGTGCGGTGTGGAGGAATCTTCTTCGTTGTCGTATGCATGCTTGAACCTAAGATATTCTTAAGAGTGCGGTGTGGAGGAATCTTCTTTGTTGTCGTATGCATGCTCGAACCTAAGATATTTTTTTCAGGCAGCTCAAGCGGAACCTGTTATCCGTTATAGAGACTTCCTGGCTGCTACTATTTATTCATCGCGAAATAGAGACTCTAAACGAGATGGTAGGCTTTGGTGTGGACCTATTTTGTATCCTACCATGGGTAACCTAAGATACGCCTGGATCGATCAGTCGTCCTCGAGGCGAGAGCGCGATGGTTTGGCGGTGGAACTCTGAAGATATTCAAAGTGCATACGAAGCCTTCGATGCTGGCAGGAAAGGGTAATAAATTGTCGCGCGCCACGAAATTATTATTCTTGTTGTTAGATATGTGACGAAAGAAGATCTTTTGAGCATTTTAGCATGCAGTGCGCGAGAGCTCGAGCGTGTCTTCGAGGCTGCGGGTTTCGATGCGGAACGAACGCACCGCGTAGATTTAGACGGTTTCTCGAAGTAAATATGACCCGTCGTGGCCTAGGATATGCAATGATTATTTTTTAGGCTACTACATTGCTCTAGAAAAACTATCATCGATTTACCACGGGAAGATAGTACGTCAGAAGATGAGATCGCGACACGGCTTGAGGTGGGCCTAATCTGAATCATGCAATCTACAACCTAAGATATGTTTTAGACCGCGGAGTTACTCGAACGAGACGCGTATTTTGCACAGTTGGATGAATACGATGAAGAGCTCTCTGTGACTGACGGTGATAATAGGGAATTCTCTGCAAAATCGTCACTCTGTGTGTTAACGAGGGGTTTATGTTGTCTTTCCCGTTGTAGATGCGTTCACGAAACGTTCTATAGATGGTCAAAATCGCCTTTTTTCTTAGGCGTTCGATTTCTCAGGTATTCGCGGGTCCA